AAACTCATCAAATAGTGAAGAATGCAACATTTTCAATGTCCCAAAAAACAGAAGCGTATACCTTCAATTATTTTTTTTTTTAAATAACAGTGAACTGGTGAAATACACTCAATCTTAATTTTACAACAGGTTAAGAAAATGACAAAAAAAACCTAGATTTAGAGATAAGAATCATGATTTTGTAAAACCCTGACTTAAATATTCTGTAAATAAGAAACTATATTAAGCTCTACTAACAAGTGTTGCCTTTGTATCTGCAGCCTTATAGTTCCTCATGGCCTTAGACCTCCAGCGTTCAACTATTAAAAACATATTAGTGAACCCACTGCTGTACTGGCTAACATGTTCCTTCATTACTGAGAACATGGACTATATTAATTTCACATTTAGCTGCTGTATAAAACAAATGCAAACCATGAAATGTCCATTAAAAGAAAAATGTAAAAAATCAGTATGCCTGAGTTTAGCCAGCATGTTTAAAACAACAGTGCCCAGCTGTTTAAGTACATTACGGTAGGTGTACTAATATGTTCCTTCAGTACTTAGAACATGGACAATTTCCATTTGACGTTCAGCTGCTCACTTGCCAACCTAATGGGTATTGAAAAATGTTTGTAGAGAAAAATCAATACATTTGCTAGATTTGCATAAAAACTAGAGTGCCCGGACTAAGCCTTTAAAAAATCGTGTTTACTTTAACATACTTTTGTCCAGTTTACAGACCTTTTAAATTCTTCAGACATTGTTTCATTGTCAATAATTAATTGATTGTTCCATTTTTGTCTTTTCATTTGAGGCACAGCTTAACAAAAATAAATGTAAAAGTTTCATTCTTAAATATCTTTATTTTTATGTTTATGTTATATTTTGAAAATATGACAATCTCAAAATGAAAAGTTGCTATTGGTCAAGGAAATCCACAACCACATGACACAGTTGCCCCGACCTAAAGATCAGTTTGCACTACCTGCATGATAGGAACAAACACTGTGGTGTCTAACAGCACCCCCCTTTACTATGAGCAACTGCTGCTGTAAAAGCGCTCTTCTCTAAATCATTTTAGTTATATAATCGGCCTATTTACTTTATGTTTATATTGTTGCACCTGCAATGGAGTGCTTTCCCCATACTTGAATCACATAGGAGCACATTAAAAAAGCAGGAGCTCTCAGCCTTTTGTTGAGACAGAATAACCTTATTTCACTCTACTGAATTATCTCTAAAATATCTAATAATGAAATCCAGGAGGTACAGAAACTGGAGGTATGTGCTCATTCTGAATACGAGTTACCTCTTTCCTTTTTTTGTGCAATTTCTTCTTGCTTTCCTACCCACAATGCCCTCCTCTCTCTCTCTCTCTCTCTCTCTCTCTCATCCTCACCCCTCCTTCCCCTCTTCATCCAACTCTATTGCACTCTTTTCATTGCCCAGCTCACGTATTGAATCTGCCTGATGAAAACAGATCTCACTGCAGCACCACAATAGAATGGCTGATGCAGGAAAGATGAACCCTAATGGATTTTTTTTTCAATGTGCTCAAGATTGAATATAAGGCCTGACCTCCACATGTAGTGGATCCATTTCAACAGCAGAGATATTGTTTATAGTGAGGACACACAAACACACGGACACACAAACAGGGACAGAATCCCTTACTATCTACATACATCACTCGGAAAAACTGTATCTTTCAGCTCGCTTAGCGGTCTAAAATTAGAATTAACCCTTGTTATTTATCCATCCATGTCAAGTGAGGGAGTCATTATGATAGCATCTCATGTTTGAACTGCAGAGTTTGCTTAATTACTCTGCTCAACAGACTGTGTCAAGGTGAGGCTCCAATTTAATAGACACTCTGCTCTCAGCACAAATGAACCTCTGCCACGCTTTGCTAGTTTTGCCAGGCAGGCTATTTGATTTAGAAATTTCTGAGTTTGCTTTATATGCTGCTTTTTGGAGTGAAGTCGAAGTAGAGCCGTGAAAAGACCTCCTGTCTGTTTAAGGAGCTTCTCTCAGAGTCACTTATGTATAAAGGTTTGAGGCAAGAAATAGTCTGGTAAAATGTTTTTTCTCCGACTATGGATTTCAAGTGTGGAGTATTGGCCGATGACAGTGCCTCTCCAATTTAGTTTGATAAAAAAAAACATATATATTTTCACTATTTTGAAAAAAACTTTAAATCTCTGACCCTATGTGTATGTGATTCAAATGTTATCAGTTGTGAGGTACGCTGAGTACACTTGAAAAACTGTAGCATAAAATCAAGCTGAGCATATAAAGACAAGCTAAGCTTCAGTTAGTATTAGCTTGGCCAGTGTCAGGGGATATAAATGTTACAAATCTTCTTTGTTTTGAGATTTTACCAGCTTGATTATCTGTTATTCAAAATTATTTTAATACTATGTCTCAAAATGTGTATATGTAGCAACATATACGTAGCTGACATTTTGCTAGCTAGTGTTAATAATGCTAATGTTACTGTGTTGAAGTGTGTTATTTTCACCTGATAATTTATTTAGATTCACTTCTCCTTTGCTACTCTTAATCAGTAATTGTTAATGGCAACAACATAAATATATGTGTCATGTAAGTTACTTCTTCAGAAAGGCGGAGCTGATAAATTTCGGTAAAGATCAAATGAAAAACTTCCTGATTACTGGTAAAGCATTTTAGGAAGAACCAGCAAAATGATCAAAACAGGTAAATTGGAACAGCTCTTTTTTGTTATTACATTTTTCTAAAGGTCACCGCTGACCTGGTTAAAGCTATTTTAAGCAGTAATACCTTTTGCCTTTGTCCTGATTTAGTCGTTTGCCTTTGTCCTAAATTACCCTGAGTGTCTCAGACCTAATGTGGACTTCACATTTCTGACATTTTCAATATGTGCTGCACTCATGTTTATTTCTCCACTTTCAAAACTAAAACACATTTAATAAACCGCAAACCTTGGTTGTCAGAATACCAATCACATGCACTTGCCAGCATATTGTAGTAAATGTGTTTTGATAATATGCTCCATAATGCATCATTTGAAACATTTCAAATCTCATGCATTTTCATCCCACACCCCGCAGTATTCAATCTATTAAGCCACAGAGTATGGGCCTCTGAATAGCAGTAACAAATATCCTGACTGCCGAGAGAAAGACTGTCCAATCAACCACTGTCTCCACAGTAAAGGTCATGACCAAAATGTGAAATGAATATGAAGATAAATGACACTCCAATCCAATACCTTCCAGCATTATATATAATATATAGTATGTTTATATTTCAGATCTGTATCAGGGCGTGGTTTGGCTTTATGCTTGTTTATCCTTATCTCCTCTGTTTAGGTTGAACATAATACATTATGCTCGACCTAGATATGCATCTGTATATATTTAATGTACACCATATATAATAGATGCTCTTTTCTTTCCATTACCGTACATGCTGCTGACTTGTCTTGTGTTATGATGACTCAGACAGAGAGAGCTGTATAAAACACATGTACTGCATTATGGCCTATTATATTATCAGAGAGGCACAGCTCTCTGTGTGTTTATTATGTCTCAGTCAAAGTAGATTAAGTTATGAAGCTGTAAAATGCTGACCTTCAAGCCCAAAAAGAAGAAGAAGAAAATCCTTGCATATGTTTTTATTGTTGAACATATGTGCTTCCTCTTCTCTGTGCTGGAATCAATAAAAGCATTCACATATGTCTGTACTTTAAAGGCAGGAACTTTATGATACATCAAATGCCTCATTCATGTAAAAATCCACCTCTGAAATATGTATATTTCTGTGGAGGTTAACATTTCTCTGAACTCCTCTTATTTATCAGCTCAGCTTTCTTTACCACATAAGGCTGTATATACTGGGAGAGAGCCTATATGCTGCATATGCTTTACATATGCCATTTATTGTGATAGAAACCTGTTCAATTTCCTGCAGTTCTCATGAATGCAATTATGGTTTGGAGATGCTAATTCGTGCAGCTGAGGGAGTAATCAACATGTATTCATGTTTGAAGGCTTGACAGATTGACCGATGCATGCTGTTGAGGTAGATATGATGCTGATGGATTTTTCCCACAATCCTTTTCTCCATGCAGCAGAGCTGACATGGCAACCGCTGAACAACCACTCAGTTATTCCCCCTACTTAGCCCCCCTTGTTCATGTCTTTGAAAATTACATATGCCTCATATGGTTGTAATTTGTGTCATTTTAAAAGCACTTTTAAAGGGGGCTGTTTTGAAAGCCTTGCGAAATTCCAAAGTTTTGTAATGTGTCTTAAAAGTCAAGTCTCTTATGTTCAATGTTCTTCATCATCTTACCCCTCTTCTTTAGATCTTTGAAATAGAATTTACCTCAGAAGGTGGCAATCTGTTTCATATTAAGAGAAAATTGGCTGTTTTGGTTGTTTTGTGGGATTCCAAAAGTTAGAAAATAATTTTTTAAGTCAAATTTGTCCAATTTTTTATGCGCTCCATCATATTTTTTCCCTTACTTAGTTGACTTCTTTATGTCTTTGAAATATTATTAATCCAACAAGTTTGCAATCTGTTTCATATCAAAAATCTCTTTAAAAGTTTGTATTCTGATAGTTTACCATTTCCAAAGGCTAAAATAATCATCTGTTAAATACATCCAATTTCTCATGAGCCCTGTCAACTTTTTTATCTGCTTTTGTACATGGCTTTTGTTCATGTACATCTGACCTTGTGTCCTTCTATTTATGTCATATATTACGAAAATACCCTCACAAGTCTACATGATTTGGTAGAAGCCAGTACAGTAAATTCACACCATAAATCCAAAAAGGGTTTAGTTTCAAGCAAACCCCTTTAAATAATAATAATAATAAAATAATAATAATAGGCATTCATCCAGATTCTTACTATAAGCCTAAATGGTACAAAATATTTGTCACCACTCCTGAAAATTTTCTCAGGCTCCTTGAACTCGAGCCTTTTTTTCCCCCAATGAATGGTTCAGTCCAGGTAATTCTACTCACCGAGGGCATTTGGCTGGAGACGAGGTGACTGTCCTGTGCCAGCATGTTCGACATCATGAGTGTGGGCAGCTCGGGGTACGAGTACGGGTTGATGAGCCCATTGTGTGGCAGCGAGTGGCAGAGGTAGCCTGTGGAGTCGTGCTCCATCAGGTGAAGCAGAGGAGGCTCGGGGTGGTTAGGTGGGGTGATTGGGGGGATCTCGTAGTCTTCGTCCCCGGCTCCGTTTCCACTGCCCGTGCCTCCACCTCCGCCTCCTCCCCCACCGCCGCCGGTCTGACCTGTGTAGCTCTAAGGGAGAAACGGAGAAAAAATAACTTAGGTGTTTGGATACTGTTGGATCAAACTCAAGCTACAGGGTTTTTTTTGTCTGGTATAATTCCATAGGGGTTGCAGAATAAGCCATTCAGTTATTTTGAGCAACAACATAGTGATAAATCTAGTGAGTTGTTTCAGAAGCCATGGGTTCTTAAAGTGTCTATTTCCTGTGCAGGAAATGAACTGCGTAGGAAAAACTCTGGTTGTTTGATAAAGATTCAAAGCTACAAGATAAACCACACATACAATATACAGAACAAGTCAACAACAGCATATTGTTCTGCTAAAAACTAACACAGACTCTTCACTTTGGATGAATTTGGCACCTACAGGTTTAGCTAAAAATGTAGCAACTCTACTACACCATTAGTACATGCCTCAAACAGGCTTCTTTTTGCATTGTCGTATGCTTTTTGAGGTTTCACAGTATTATGAGGAATCCACAAAAAATGTGGGTAAAAAAACTTTTTTTTTTCCAACAACAGTACAACAAATGTGTCTGCAGTATTTGTTCTACTGTATGTTTGCAAATGTACTCATCAGTTAACCAATTTGACAACGTATGAATCCTCAAGACTTCAAGCTGACTACATTCAAAGAAAAAAAAAGTAGGGCAATTGATAGTGGCAAATAATCTGGGACTGGGGTCGTGTTACCTGCATGAATAGTTTAACCACAAATGCTCATAACTCATTGACTCACAGCTGTCTATTCTAAACAGAAAATGGGACATCTTCAAACAGTACCAGAGGTAGGTTCAATAATTTCAACAGATTAGTGCTAGGTGGCAGTATCCATAGCAACAGTTCAAGTAACCATTGCAACCTGCTTACAGTTACGCTGTCATTTAAATTAATTAATTTTAGAGATGCAGATATTCTTTTTCTTCTATACATGCTTAACTTGTGTTAATAACTGTTGCTAAAAAAAACATAAAATGTGACTGTAGTGAACCAAAGCAACGATACCGCTGCTTTATGACAATGTTCTGAACCTGACCTCACAATGAGTAACTGACTCAAATTCATGAACTGCAACATAATTAGAAGTTTTGTTGTTTGCGTCATCAATTATTTTCTTCTAACATAGCCCATATAACCTTAATATGGCATGATTGTATCTTATCGTATTCACGTCTAGTCACATTAAGTATTGTATCTTACCATTTCGTAACATACCGTATCGTACCGCATCATAACATAATCTATCGTGCGGTATCGTAACATACCGAATCGTAACATACTATTGTAACAAATAGTATTCTATCATAGCCTATCGTATCGTAGCCTATCATACCGTGTCGTAACAAACCGTATCGTAACAAATACTATCGTATTGTATCATATTGTCTCGTAGCCTATCATACGTATCGTAACATACCGTAACGTAACATACCATAACGTAACATACAGTATTGTATCGTCACATACCATATTGTATCGTACCCAAACATACCGTATCATACCGTATCATACATATTGTATCATACCATATCGTATATGGTATATGGTATTGTACAGTATCATGACATATCGTATCGTACCATATTGTATCATATTAGACAGAGATGTGACTCTTTAATTGCAGAGGACTTCAGGATAACACAATTTTTGACAGACCATCTCTTATTGAAATCTGTACCGTCATTTGATTTGAAGTCATTACTCTGGTCACTATTAATTAATGAAAAGCTCCTGTGTTAAGAATTAATGGTTAACCGTAAGATGAACTTGAAGCATTCATTCTTCAATAATATATATAGATATTTTCTGTAGGGAACATATCGGTAGAAATAGAAGAATGAAGAGTTTTTTTCTTATTATGTTAACATCTTTTTCACAATGGAATTTGGTTTATTCCACTCCACAAAAAGCTTTGTAAACTGTTTAAATCTTGATCTGTCATTTTGTTCAAATAGGTGTAATTTAGTTTCAAATGTTGAACGTCTCATTTCGGAACAAAAACTCAAAGCTCAGCGATCAGTAATAAAGGAAAGCAGCAGCCTCCGTGTTTGTGTGCTGTCGCGCTAACACAGTAAGTCCAATCAGATCAGAGTTCTGCACTGAGCAAGAAGAAAAGAAAAATAGCAGGGAAATTCAACGGGGAATGAAAAGCAATTTTGTCTGAGACGATCCAACTTGACTCCCATTGTAATGACTGAGTCAAATTAATCATCACAAATAATATTCTGGTGTCAGCCATTCAAGGGTTTTTTAATAGAATTTTTATGATTCATGTCTAGCGGTATACATCAAACAGTCAGTTCTGCAACATTTCTGAAATCAATTCAATATCATCTTTGTGTAGGCTGTCATCCTCGGCAGCAGAGTGGTCATTTATCTCTCAAACAGATACTTTTAGAAAATAAGGGGCGCGGGGAGATGGAAGAAAGGAGAGAGGATACAGGGCACTTTTTTCCCTCTTGTTTATCTCCACGCTGTTTTATTATAAAGGTGAAGGTAAAGGCACATTCTGTAATATTGTGACCGTATGATTAACTACTTTATTAAGATTTATAACTGACAATGAAATAACAAATTACCCACAAAAATAGGACTATTTTTCTGCCCCCCCAAAAAATCTCAATCTGCTTCTAAAAGACATGTAGAGCTTGTTACTGTCTAATGTTGGTGTTTATTTATCTGTAAGTGATAGCAGAATCCTTTAGTTTTTTATGTCACTTCTCATCGACCAAGCCGTTATGTTCCTGTAAGAGAATACGAATGCACACTTTTCTTTGTTACAACAAAAGCTTTCAGAAAGATTAAAATGTATTTAATGTGTTTTAAAAGAATCTAACACAGTAAGCACAAAAAAAAAACAACAGATGAGAGGAATTTCATTAAGCTACAAAACCTAAAACATTAACACAGGTCTCTAATTTCACCACAAGAAAGGGACGCTGGGAATGTTTTATTGTGCAACAAGAATGCAGACACAGACTCAGCGTTTAAAGCACGCTTTTATCTTCCTTCATGTTACACCAAATAAAGAGAAAGAAGAAGGAAAGGAAGTGCGATTGCCTCAATTTGATTCACTTTGTCCTGAAAAAGCCTGCAAGCCAGTTGATATTAATTTTCTGGCCCGTCCTTTGATGACAGATGTTTTTGTAAACCTGTGGGGATAATGTTATTGTTTGGTCTAATGGACAAGAGAACGAACATTTCCTGAGATTCAATTTCCCTCATAATTGTTGGAAGGAAACTAAATTGTCTGCTGTAAACATTGGGGGCCATTGTGTGAAGTGAGTCCCCGTGCGCGTCTCCCTCAGAGCCCTTCGCATCATTGTCATCTCTTTGCTTTGACCGTGTTTGACCACTGTGTAATCATAAGCCGTGCTTAGTCATCATCGAGCATGTTCATCAACCTTTTGTTTTCTCTGTGTTTAAATATATATCCAACCTACACAGACATTTTCCAGGTCATTTCCCAGGTTTCTTTTGCTTTTTTGATTGTGCAAAGGGACGAGGACTGAGGATGTGTCATGTGTTAGATTGCTGTGAGGGCTCATCCAGTGCCCTTGATGATAAAATGTAAATACCAAGGACGTTCCCAGTTGGATTGTGGCAGGATAAATTATTCATATGCCTCTATTCAGAATGAGCTTGCATGTACAGGAGCACATGTACACTCTGGTTAATGTATACTCTTTTCTACTTTAAAAGTAAAATCCAAACAAAGGAGATGAATTTGATGGATCGTGTGGTATAGACCAGCATGTGTCCTAGTATGGAATTGGCTTTTCAAACAAAAGCTCCCCCCCCCCCTTTCTCATCATTGGTTTACTTTCAATAGCCAGCATCCAAAAGCTGCATTTCACAGATTCTATTTTCTCACAGAAGCATCCTTTATTTTCCCTCCTCTGATCAATAGCACAAACTATAGGGAACATTATTTCCAATACACAGTATGCTCAGCCTGCACAGCGAGCGAAACACAATCTGTAACATTTTAATTAAGAGACAGATCTCTCCACTGTAAGTGTTACATACCGGCACACCTTTCATTTGAAAGAAACAGATGAACAGACAGTTGGTCTGGGACTGAGAGAGAAAATAACATTGATTGGGGAGCTTTCCAGCTTGTCTTTTATTTTGGCACAGATCTCCGCCTCCCTCTGCAACACTGCCGGAGTGTTCAAGGCCTTCTGGAGATGATATTGACTGTGGCTAATGGCTCATTATCTGTACATTTTCTCTCTTATTATATTATTGTTGCAATGCCTGTAGAAATCTGGATCCAGAACATAACCCAATTAATAAAGAAATGTTTATTAAGTCTGTAAAATTAGTCGCTGTCAAACATAATTCATACATACAACAAAAGAGCTGCATGCCTCTCAGTCTCTGTGAAATACTTCAAGCTCTTACTCTTCAAACTGAAGCAATCGATGGATACAGGAACTCTATTTTGATCATTTTTGATCATTTAAGCCATTTTAAAACAAACATTCTCCCCTGCCAGCTTCTGCAAATTTGATGTTTTGCTCAAATTTTAATTTTATTGATTTTTTAATGGATATTTTTGGAATATTGGTTTGAATGAAAATGTGCATTTTTTCTTGTTTTTGACAGACTAAGTTTTTCATCAGATATTTCATAAAGAATCAGGGAACTAATCTATATTTAATACAATTATTATTTGTAGTTCTATTAACTTTGTTTTAGTACATCACCTCAAAGGGACTTTCCTTGAAAAAGAGCTTTTATGACAGGAGTCCCAGAAACTGTGACTATTTCCTCTTTAAAATAATCAGCCTAAACATAAAGCCCATAGATATGAACATGAGTGCATACTCACATTCAGTCCAGTTGCTTATGTGCCACACAGACTTCAGACTTTGGAGTCCCCTCAAGTCTGCATTTGTTTCGAGGAGAGGGTGGGACCGACAGCTCAGAGACAGACGATGACAGATCTGCCTCGCCGCTAATGTGCACTTATCTGCCTATTGGAGAGCTTTGTCACAGTGGTGA